AATGGAAGACCATCTTACTCGTCCAACGAGGGATCGCCTAAGTAAAAGTAAAAGTAAATGGTGCTCCATGCAGTCATGCTGGCCACATGTCCTTGGAGGTGTCTATGGACAACGCCAGCTCTTCAGCTTAGAAATGGAGATGAGCACCACCCCACAGTCAGACACGACTTAAATATTGCAGGTTCAAATCTGGGGAGCGGTGTGGGCTCCCGCTATTAGCCCCAGCTTCTGCCAACTTAGCAGTTCGAAAACATGCAACAGTAAGTAGATCAAAAGCTACCGCTTCTGCGGGAAGGTAATGGTGCTCCATGCAGTCATGCTGGCCACATGTCCTTGGAGGTGTCTATGGACAACACCGGCTCTTCAGCTTAGAAATTGAAATGAACACCATCCCCCACAGTCGGACAAGACTAGATTTAATATCAGGGGAAAACCTTTACCTTTACTTACCATCTTAATGTCTATTCTGCCAGTTTAAAGATATTCCTTTGAAAAACATCAATCGGCCTTTCATTTGGGTGTTTTTGAAAGTGTGGACAATCCCTTAGTCCAACATTCAAACCACTACACTGCATGGACTCCCAACATAAGAACATACACCTGTGCTATAGAAAAGGATCCTGTTTTACCTATTTTCCTGTAGTAAAAAAAACACATAATGACTAAATGAATGTTCTGTACTGAAGTTTATTTTCTCCACCCACAGAATTCCTTCTGAAATGTAATACAGTTCGTTCTTGAGGTCCACCTGATTATTTTTGTTGCATTTAGTCAACTTTTTTCTTCTTCTGGCAATTATTAAATGCATCTTTCTTAATCTGCTAAACATTCTTATATTAGAACAACAACCCTGGCATTTCAGTTCTCTGCTTCAAATAACTTTAGAATGAGCTGTTTATTTAATCAAGACAGATGTGAAACATAACAGGAGCTAAGAGGGATTACAGGACCATTTGAAATAAGCATAGTTATCCAAATATAAATATCACTTGTGGAAACTCACCAAAGAATATTAAGCAACAAATTAGGGTTGGAAACTTTGCAAGGCGGGGCAAGGCATGGAGGAAGCATCCTTCAGAGGTTATATCCTCAGTTTGGGAAAGCACCAGCCAAGTGAATTCGAAAGAGTCTAGAAGGTACAGAGTCTGGATGGAAGTTGCTTTTGGCAAATAAATAAATGCTATGCAAAACAAAACACTTTTTGGGTTGGTATGAGTTTTCTGGGCTGTATGGCCATGTTCCAGAAGCATTCTCTTCTGACATTTCATGCACATTTGTGGCAGGCATCCTCAGAGGTTGTGAGGTCTGTCGGAAACTAGGGAAGTGAGGTTTATACATCTGTGGATATGGCATAGATGTGGGCGAAACATCAGGAGATAATGTTTCTGGAACATGGCCATACAGTCTGGAAAACTCACAGCAACCCAGTGATTCTGGCCATGAAAGCCTTCAACAACACATAAAACTCTTTTTTCAAGATCCATCACTGCTGCCAAAATTCAACAGAAAATGCAATGGAAGGGTAAGGGAGCACCACAAACCCTTACGATGCCTCAAAGCTAACAGTATTAATGCACAGATCTCTGTGACTAAAGAAAATGTTAAGGAGGGGCAAAGCAGTGGATGGTGGAAGATACCAGAGATGCTGCTTGCCCTGGCAGCCATGCTGGTTTTGCTAGCTCTGAAATACAGCCCACAGCACCCTCTAAGGTTGGCAGTCTCCCATCCAAGTATGAACCACGGCTGACCCTGCTTAGCTTCCAAGATCAAACAAAATCAGGTGCCCTGAGGGCAGTCATGGACCAACTTGGGACCTCCCTCCAGGTGTTTTGGACTTCAAATCCCACCAAGCACCCTGACAAGGCAACAATCCTTTGCAGGAACATTAGTCACTAGATAATGAAGAATGTTCAAGAGTTGGAAGCATATTTCAGATTATGTACTGTACTAACAATAAACATTTTGAATTCGTTTGTCCCATTCCTTGATGAATAATATTCTGGTTCAAGTCTGTTATTAAGACAATCCACTTTGTAAATTAAGTTATCTTAATGTTTCAGGACTAACACTAAACGTATTTGGGGACCTTGGCTCACATAAGCTGGAATTGTGTCGCGATCAGAGTATTATATTAGAACTGAGAAGATCCAGATTCAAATCCTCACTTGGCCACAAAGGCCTCAACATTAATGTAATTAACAGAAGGGTGATGGAAGAAAGGTGGGGTATAAAGGTAACAAGACAGGTAAATAAATAAATGGTTTAACGTATTGTCAAAGGCTTTCATGGCTGGAATCAGTGGGTTGAGTAGGTTTTTCAGGCTACATGGCCATGTTCTAGAAGCATTCTCTCCTGACATTTTGCCTGCATCTATGGCAAGCATCCTCAGACCTCACAACCTCTGAGGATGTTGCCATAGATGCAGGCAAAACGTCAGGAGAGAATGCTTCTAGAACATGGCCATATAGCCCGAAAAACCTAGAACAACCCAATAAATGGTTTGTTCTCTTTCAGATCCCCAGCGCTTGCTGGGACCCCACTGAGCAAATCTTAGGGGAAAAGTGGGTATAAATACAATAAATACGAACTAAATAACCCCTTAAACGTACTTCAGCACTGACACATTTACTGCAAGTCCAGTTTGAATATTATTTATTTATTTATGACATTTATATGCCGCCCTTCTCACCCCAAAGGGGACTCAGAGCAGCTTACAAGATATATATATATATATATATATATATATATATATAATATCAACATAGTACAATATCAGTATTAAATATTACTACATTGTACTATACCATTATATTGTAATATTATTAGCAATATTACATGTAATATAAATATATAATTATAATATCATATTATTATTATATTAGTAGGGGAAACTGTAGACACCATCATGTAGGCCAGGCATGTGCCAACTTGGGCCCTCCCTCCAGGTGTTTTGGACTTCAACTCCCACCATTCCTAACAGCCTACCGGCTTCTTGCGGGAATTCCGATGAGATGCCACATAACACCAATCTTACTACAGCTGCATTGGTTACCAATTGAGCACCAGATCACTTTCAAAGTGATGGTACTCACCTTTAAGGCCTTGCATGGTCTGGGGCCGATGTACCTGAGGGACGCCTCACCCCCTACCAACCCCAGAGATCCCTCCGTTCTGAGGACCAAGATCTATTGGAAATTCCCAGTGTCAAGACCTTGTGTCTAACAGCAACCAGACGCAGAGCCTTCACAGCAGTGGCACCATCACTCTGGAATACTCTGCCACCTGAAGTCCGTGCCTTGCGGGACTTACCAGCTTTCCGCAGGGCATGTAAGACATACCTGTTTCGACAGGCTTTTAATGTTTGATATTGCTGTTTTTAAATTGTTTTAAATTGCTTTTAAATTTTGTTAGATTTTAGCCGTTCTTGTAAGCCGCTCCGAGCCCCAGGGGAGTGGCGGCATATAAGTTCAAATAATAAATAAATAAATAAATAAATAAATAGGTAAAGGTAAAGGTAGTCCCCTGACATTAAGTCCAGTCATGTCTGACTCTGGGGATGTGGTGCTCCTCTCCATTTCTAAGCCGAAGAGCCAGCGTTGTCCGTAGACACCTCCAAGGTCATGTGGCCGGCATGACTGCATGGAGCGCCGTTACCTTTCCCGCCGGAGCGGTACCTATTGATCTACTCACATTTGCATGTTTTCGAACTGCTAGGTTGGCAGAAGCTAGGGCTGACAGCGGAAGCTCACGCCGCTCCCCGGAATCGAACCTGCGACCTTTCGATCAATAAGCTCAGCAGCTCAGTGCTTTAACCCACTGCGCCACCGGGGGCTCCTAAATAAATAAATAAATAAGTCCAAAACACCTGGGGGGAGGGCCCAAGTTGGCCCATGGCTGGCCTACATGATGGTGTCTACAGTTTCCCCTACTGGAGGGAGGGCCCAAGTTGGCCCAGGCCTGCTTGAGGGATATTTAGGCCTCCCTTCCTTGCAGATCTCAACTTAATCTTCTTTCAGAACTCCCGAGTTGCCACTTGTCGGACTCCAGCTGAAGCCAAGCTCAGTCCCACACTCCAAGGGTGCCTACAACAAGGGCAGCCCAGCCCAGCCTAGCCTCCCTTCCCCCGCTGCCAGGCTCACCTGCCCCGGCCGCAGGCAGGCAGGCAGCCCTCTAGGCCAGGCAAGCCATCGATGGGGCAGGAGGCGAGGAGGGAACCCTGGGGGCAGCACCCGGGGTTCTGCTGCTCCAGCCGCCCGCGTGCCTCCGCCCCGCCCCTCTCCGCCCCGTTGCTAGGCGACCCCTGCCGCCAACCCTCCCCTTCCTTCCAAGCCGCAAAAGGGAAGGAGCGGGCTCTGGACCGTACCATTGTCCGATTGGGGGGGGCGGAGCTGTGAAACTTTGGCCACCAATTTCACAGCGGTTTTCTTCCCCCTCCCCTGGATTCACCCTCTCTAAAGAGTTTACCTTGTTGCTTCAACTCGGCGCAGAAAGGATTGGGTTGCTTGCTATTGGTGGTGGATTGTAATACCAGGGACTGTACCATTACTTGCTCAGCGTTGAGTGGACTTCTGACTGTGGGCCCTTCCACACAGCCCTATATCCCAGGATACCAAGGCAGAAAACCCCACATTACTGTATCTGTGTGTGGATTCAGATAACCCGGTTGAAAGCAGATATTGTGGAATTTTTTTTGCCTATTCTGGGACATAGGGCTGTGTGGAAGGGTCCTCAGGTAACCCAGGTCAAAGCAGATATTGTGGGATTTTCTGCCTTGATATTCTGGGAGATAGGACTGTGTGGAAGGGCCCTCAGATACCCCAGTTGAAAGCAGATATTGTGGGATTTTTTGCCCTGATATTCTGGAGGGGTGAATGTTGTATCAATGATTATTGATACATGACTAATAAAATTAACATTTTGGAAAGAGATCACAAGGCAAAGAGATCCCAAGCAAACAAAAAGTAGATAGGTTCTTGTGGGTTTTTTTGGGCTATAGGGCCATGTTCTAGAGGCATTTCTCCTGACGTTTCGCCTGCAAAAAGTAGATAATCAAGTAGGGTCTTGTGGACTTCTCTTTTTCACCAAATGAATCAAAAATGTTTTGACACTCTAGATAAGAGATGTGGATGCAACAATTATTTTGAAAATCAGAAAAACTTTTCCAAAAGATGGGAGAATTGGAGAACTTCTGGACCTTTCTAGCATGGTTGATAATAACATTTTGATTGTCTCTAATGTTTAAATGAGCAAATGATCCCAGTTCAAGAGGAGGAAGTGAGTATGTAAACATATATATGAGATCAATCAGAGTGCAACTGATACAGCTTTTTAGCATTTTAAGATCAGGAATACATTCAATTTAATTCTTCACCACCAGCTTCATTTGTTGCATTGCCTCACAGCAAATAAGCATTTATGACAGATCAGATATCTGGAAAGTCAATATGTAAGAACATTGGGAATATGTCATCCTGGGTAGATCAAATGAGCTGCTTGGGCAGCTATCTTTTAAAAAAATAAAAAGTTGTATCATATTCTAAATGCAATTAGTGAATGTCTTTTGTCGGAAACTAGAAGACTAAGGACTCCCATTTCCGACGAAAGACATTCTTGTCGGAAACAGGGACATTTTCAAACTAAGGACTCTAAAAACATCCCCACTCAAGATAATCTATATGGAGGTTTGAGATGCTAATGCATTACATAATTGATTTCTATAAACCAATCTGAGTGTATTTACCAGAATGTCACAGTGTTGTTCTGTAAAATAAAACAAATGGAATAAAGATGCATTTTTGCACGCCCATCTAAAACAATGTCCCATTGAATCCAGTAACACTTGCTTCTGAGTACTCCTGATGCATGTGGGCTGCATGTGTAGCAGCTCAGGTTTTATTGTTACCCAGGGATCCATATAGGTGCTGATATAAATGTGTTTATGCTTGTATCAGTTCCCTTGGGGGAGTGGACAGTGGGTCATATGCTATATCCACCCACTCAAGCTTAGTCCTGCCTAGTTTTACAACTATTGAACTTACACTTCAGTAGAAGCTCACTTGTCCTCCCTAGGGATGCACATTGTGGGCAAGACTTTAACAGATCCACTTGGGCCACAATTTTGTCTTCCAGCTAGAAATCTTCTGTGTATTCAATCTCCTCTTTCCAAGTTCTGGCACAACAACCATCTGCCTTTTGACAGTTTTATCTCTACTTTCATGAAACAGATGTCTCGTTTGTGAACCTTTCGCTGGCTTATCCGTGGGAACGTAAAGGACTGATTGATAACAATGAATAATTAGAGAGGGTGGGTGGCATCTGGAAAGTGAGGCATAAAGGTGTCTGCAGCTTTGGCAAAGCCAGAGAGGTACTGCTGTTCCTCTGGAGCAGATGTTTGCAGGATGCAGAGTGCTAAGGAATCCAAGAATGAAAAGCCCTGAGAGAATTTGCTGAAGGAACCTTGCATCCTGTATTTGAGAGAGATGAAAGAAACAGGCAACTACTGACCATGTGGAACATCCTAATGATTATCCTTTCATCTTCAACAATAATTGTAAGTAAAAGAAAAGGTTTATAGTATGCATTGTGACAAAGAAACAAATACATGTGCTGTCAGTGTTGATCTTCCACTGAAATGGGGAGGGAAAGAAAAAGGTGAGAAAAATATTAGTGAAGTAACAGTGCCATTCTCTGCAGTGTTCAACAGGATGTACTTCTGGGGAAAACTTTAAGTGAATACTTTACTTCTAATACTGCCATGCTATGCTCTCATATGTGGAAAGAGACTGTGCTAAACATAATTCTCCTTTATGATTGACATAGACAGGATTGTGATGGGGAAGTTTGAGTTTCGTTCCCAGAGTTTTGAAATGATAACACCTTAAAATCTGGCAATCCAATCCTCTGTTGTAGGAATTATGCGCACAAATTTAGGAAACTTTAGTAGGCAAAGGGATCTTGTAGACAAAGGTTGCATTTATATATTGAGTCAGTGGGCTCAGTCTACAAAATGTTATTCTACAAACCTGTCTCATGCCCCTTCCACACAGCTGAATAAAATCCCACATTATTGGCTTTGAACGGGAATACATGGCCGTGTGGACTAGATAACCCAGTTCAAAGCGGATATTGTGGGATTTTCTGCCTTGATATTCTGAGTTAGATGGCTGTGTGGAAGAGCCCCCAATTAATTTCAAAGATGGTACAAGGTCCTTTTGCTTATCAATCTATATTAACCACCATAGGTAGCCTTGGTTTAGAAGAGCATAATTCCTCCCTAGAAACCTTCTTCTTCAAAAGCTTTTACTGTGCTCATCTGCAAACAGGATAGGTAAGGTTCACTGTGGTCCTGAAATGGTTTGTGTTTGTCACAAGCAGGCCCGTAGCCAGGATTTTAATTCAGGAGGGGGGGGGGGCTGAGTTTGATTCGGGGGGGGGGGGGCTGAGTCTGAGTGAAAGAGGGTCTACCCTAGCAAACTTTTTGTATCATTACCCCAATACCCCCATGCATATGGGATATATTGAGCATGGTGATCAGATCATGATATGAATAAACATAACAGTTTAAATAATGTACCAGTAAGGCCTTCTCGCGGACCACCATGAGAATTTGGGGGGGGGGCTGAAGCCCCCTCAACCCCCCCCCCCCCCGGCTATATGCCTGGTCACAAGAGTTTGTCTCTTCTGTGAGTTTCTCAAGTCTATAAAATGGCTGTTAGGTTGTTTGCTCTGTCTTCATAGGGAGACAGCTGCTAGTCAAAAAAATAAATATTTGCTTATGATTAATATGTTCATCATTGGTTATAACAGGTATGCTCATTTTACTGTCAAATGGATGTCTTTTCTAAAGTTTATATCTAGCTTACTTTTGTGATATATGATTAATATTGGCTTGTATTATTAATTTTGACTAAGAAAGGGCTATCTTTCAGATAAAAAGAAAAGATAGAAAACAAATAGAAATTGTACACTTTGCAAATAAAATTCAAATTGGGAAAAGATCTATTCTATTTCTACTGTTAAAAATGAAGAATTCAATGTATTATGTAAAGTTTTGGTAAAATTATTACTAATCAGCATATAACAGTTTTACAAAGGGTTGGTTGGAAATAAGTATCTGTTTCCTCCTAATCAGTGTTTTATATTCCCTTAAACCTATTGATCAGTTAAACAAAATAAAACAGTAAAAAAGTTGTCACTTTCACAATTCAATTAGTTTTGTTTGCTTTTCAGTCACAGTGAAACTTCTTGACATGGTAATGTGTGATAGCAATGACTGTTGATTTTTCCACCTGTTTCTTACATACACTATAAAAATAATGTATAATATGGTATTGAGATTCTAAGATGAGAATGCTCTTTCCCAATGCTGCCTGCATTTTTCTTTCTTTGGAATGATTTCCTTGAAGTATTGGGTTGGGAGATGGATATGGACTGGGTATGACTTAGCCATTTGATCATATGCAGTGAGTTAGCAATCCCTCTCATCCTCTCTTGTGTTGTGTGTTACTCCTGAAGCATTCATAATATCAGAGAATGATAGAGTTGGAAGAGACCACAAAGGCCATGAAGTCCAACCCTGTGCCATGTTCTTTTTGGTCTCTTTGGTAGAATCTTTTCCATTCATCTTATAACTGGAGCCCCCGGTGGCGCAGTGGGTTAAACCCTTGTGCTGGCACGACTGAAGACCGACAGGTTGCAGCTTTGAATCCAGGGAGATTGTGGATGAGCTCCCTCTGTCAGCTCCGGCTCCCCACGTGGGGGCATGAGAGAAATCTCCCACAAGGATGGTAAAACATCAAAACATCCTGGTGTCCCCTGGGCAACGTCCTTGCAGACGGCCAATTCTCTCACATTAGAAGCAACTTGCAGTTTCTCAAGTCACTCCTGACATAAAAAAAATCTTATATACTCGTGTATAAGTCTAGACATTTAAATCAAAAACTCAATTTAAAAAACCTGGACTGACTTATCTAAGGTAAGAAACCACTCCTTTCATCTTATAAATAGATTGCTGAAAGGCAAAAGCTTTGTCCATCCCAGGAGAACCTAAAAGAAGCACCAGTCTTCGTCTATACTCTCTCCACTGTGATGCCGCTTCTGGCCTTTTTCAGTGCCTAGGTGGAGAAGTAATGGCATTGGTACTTTCTCTTCTCTGAGAAAAGATCTTTGATCATCCACAGTTTAATCAAAATCCATAGTTTTGCCCCCCAAACTTGTTCTGGATTTATATACATAAATCGACATAAAAATGAGTATATATGGTATGTTTTCTAGGGCCCCTTCTACATTGTGCTTGTA